GAACACAGCATGTCAGATGTACTGTCCGGCGATGTGAGTCAGAACACAGCATGTCAGATGTACTGTCCGGCGGTGTGAGTCAGAACACAGCATGTCAGATGTACTGTCCGGCGATGTGAGTCAGAACACAGCATGTAAGATGTACTGTCCGGTGGTGTGAGTCAGAACACAGCATGTCAGATGTACTGTCCGGCGGTGTGAGTCAGAACACAGCATGTCAGATGTACTGTCCGGCGATGTGAGTCAGAACACAGCATGTCAGATGTACTGTCCGGCGATGTGAGTCAGAACACAGCATGTCAGATGTACTGTCCGGCGGTGTGAGTCAGAACACAGCATGTCAGATGTACTGTCCGGCGGTTTGAGTCAGAACACAGCATGTCAGATGTACTGTCCGGCGGTGTGAGTCAGAACACAGCATGTCAGATGTACTGTCCGGCGGTGTGAGTCAGAACACAGCATGTCAGATGTACTGTCCAGCGGTTTGAGTCAGAACACAGCATGTCAGATGTACTGTCCGGCGGTGTGAGTCAGAACACAGCATGTCAGATGTACTGTCCGGCGATGTGAGTCAGAACACAGCATGTCAGATGTACTGTCCGGCGGTGTGAGTCAGAACACCGCATGTCAGATGTACTGTCCGGCGGTGTGAGTCAGAACACAGCATGTCAGATGTACTGTCCGGCGGTGTGAGTCAGAACACAGCATGTCAGATGTACTGTCCGGCGATGTGAGTCAGAACACCGCATGTCAGATGTACTGTCCGGCGGTGTGAGTCAGAACACAGCATGTCAGATGTACTGTTCCGATCCTTTGTCCGACCAATGGCATGATGAAAATGAGTTGATGTTTGTATCATTTTATCATTTTGTATCATATATATCAAAGATCAGTTTACGATTGAGATTGTTACTGCATGTTGTTTTTAAAGTCTGTTATTTGTCTTGTGGATTCACTCCCCAGCTCTCGAGTCAAACCTGCCTTGGGTGATCATTGGTGTCTGCATCGGCATCTTTGTCCTGCTCGTGTCGGTCCTGGCTATAGGCTGTTGCTGCTGCCGCCGCAAGTAAGTGGTCAACGGATGAACAATATGGCCGTTTAATTACACACATTGGGAACTGTTGTGAGGTGTTATTTAAGAAATGTTAAACAACGTATTTTTCTGGTTCGATGAAACAGGTGCAGGTAACTTCAAAGGGAGCTCTTGCCGACATGTAGCTGGTATATTGCTGAAACAACCAATACATATGAAAGCAATGGTATAAATGTAATCAAAAGGAACTTGTCACCTCACTCGTTCCGATTCTTTTTTACAGTTTTCCCTTCATAGAATCAACGTTCACGTAAAAGAACAAGTGATATATCTGCTTAAGAAGTGCAAGGGATACCCAAAATAGGTTAACAATTTCTAGTAATAGTTTTTTCAGAATAATATAAAGAAATGTGAAGACAGTAGAACCGGTTCTGAAACATTACCGTTGATGTTATGACTACCAATGATCTTGAAGGACAAAATAAGATGAGATATTTCTAAGTTGATGCCACCATTGTATGCCAAACACTCAAACAGTTGACGAGGCTACCTCCATATGAGTGTCCTAATGATGATCTGAGGGAGTCGGTCCCACTCCACTTGCAGCGCCTGGCCAAGTTCAGCCAATTTGGTCATCAACCTCTACCAAACTTGATTAATGGCAATAAGGTCTGAGCTCATTGCTGACCGTGGTATTCTATAGATGTTGTGCTACTGGAGGTGAGCATTGTCTCGCCAGACCCCGTGGAGACGGGCAATCAAGGGTGTCAGTATGGTATCTGAGGTCGCTCAGCTATAGACATGCCACTCCACGCCATAACCGATCCGTCAACAAATCCGTCATGAGGTCTCTGGCTGACATTGCAAGGAGGTCATTTCGACGTCGCAAGACAAGGCCACCACATGTGAAACGCGAATCGAAAACCATGACACTTGACCAGCGACGATTACCCTAGTTTCGATGTTGTACACACAATTCATGTGCCTTGCCAATATGCCGGTTTGTTAGGTGGGGCACGTGGCCGGCAAGCATTCGTCTGACCGGTAACTGGTAGAATAATAAGTGTCTGTAGCGTTTGTAGTTTCCGTAGTCCTGTTGGGACATTGCAACGCCATGCTAAATGAAGAGTATGTCACAGCCAACAATGTTTCTGTTTCCCTCTAGGCGTTCCAGCGACAGCGTCAGTAAAGACCGACACTCCATTATAGACCAGTCGTCCAACTACCACGACTACATGAGATCGCCGTTTGCAGCACCCCAGGGATACATTCAGTACGCCAACCCTGAGTTTAATGAGGCTTACGACTTCTACAATTCAGGGGGCAGATTTTCAGATCGATAGAGTCATTCGACCTTTCTAAACACATTTCTTATAGCTTCAGCGTAATTTTGATTTAAGACATGTAATCTGTTCTATAACCCCATCACACAATGATGTCATGTTCGTTTTCCTTTTTCTGTACGTTCAGACGCGAAATCTTTTGGTATGAAAAATGAAAATGTTAACGAGTTAGGCATTTACTTGTTGGTAGTACCTGAACCTGTTGTCGTACCTCCATCTTATACATCCTGATGGAGTCTACTCCATTACATTATTCACGTATGTTCCATTCATATATCCAGATAAATATCTTGGTGAAGAAATCATGGGTAATAGCCTGAATGACGGTCAGTACAGACAACGCAACGACCTCTGTCTGAATGCCTAAAGTCACCTGCCTTGTGTGCCTCATTGAAACGATTGAGTCTGTCCGGCGTTCAGTATTCACCTGTATATATACAACAGATTACACTCCATACAACAATATATCATGTAATATACCCTTTTGATACTACAATCTTCTAATGTGAATATTATCCGTTTATGATGAAAGTTTACAGATATATATTATGTTCAATATTTGTTGATTTTAGTGTTTCGTGATACCATCATAGGTTTTGTGGAGTTTAACACTGGCATTAGAATGTCCAAAACTGTGCATATTGAGACTTGTTATTACACAACCTGCATATTTGATCTGAATTTATAAAAATGATATATATTTGTATTGATGCTCTTTTTGTTTTTTTTGTTGGGTTTTTATTGCCATAGAAATGTGTAGGTAAGTCATATATGTGTTTAGTTTATCATATTTATTAAAAGCGAGACTCGAGACTTACTTTCAGGAACCAACCCACACAGGACACGGCGAGTGAAAATACAATCAGTTCATTAGACAACCACTGACCCTATATATAATATAGTCACTTAACAATAGGGATGTGTACAAACAATCACAAGAACACGTTGAAAATAAGTTAGAAGTAAGTATATTCATTAGATGACATAGATGCATTACAGAGGATACTTATAACATACGACACGATACACGTCTCATGGAACATTACAGAGGATACTTACAACATAGACACGATACACGTCTCATGGAACATTACAGAGGATACTTACAACATAGACACGATACACGTCTCATGGTACATTGCAGAGGATACTTACAACATAGACACCATACACGTCTCATGGTACATTACAGAGGATACTTACAACATAGGCACGATACACGTCTCATGGTACATTACGTACAACATAGACACGATACACGTCTCATGGTACATTCCGTACAACATAGACACGATACACGTCTCATGGTACATTACGTACAACATAGACACGATACACGTCTCATGGTACATTACGTACAACATAGACACGATACACGTCTCATAGTACATTACGTAATACAGCAAGTTACATAGGACTGCTTGTTGTTTGACGCCGCAATCAGCTGTAATCTAGTTATATGGCTGCGGTCTGTAAATAATCCAGTCCGAGCCAGACAATCCAGTGATCAACAGCATGAGCATCGATCTACAGTTGGAATACGATGACATGTGTCAACAAGTCGGCGAGGCCGATTACGACGAGCATGGGTTGCTGAAAAACTAGGGTGTGCGGTGTTCTGTAGGGAAGTGAAACTCTTGACGATTTTCTGAAAATGTTGCTTCATTTTATCGCATTGCTTCCCTTGTTTGTAAATTTCAAACTCGATTTTGTGGAGTCCAAAGATTTCAGATCATTATGATTACATCAGTTGACATTGCCCGACTCGTTGGATGTGTGTTAGTGTGTCTTGTTCTTGCTTTGTTTCGTCCCAATGGCTCCTACCAGGAAGGGGAAATCAAACAAAGGAATTATATCATTCGGCTATTATCCGTCTTGCTACATGGCATTTCCAAATAGCATGGCAAATGTTTTGTGTTTTCAGTGTAGAATATACACTACAACACGGGAGGAATAGAAAGACGTAGTAGTAGCAGTTATAGTAGTAGTTTTGTAGTTGTAAACTTCGTGTTGTTTTGACTGGTCGAGAAACATGGCTGGCCATAAAGTTGGTGACCTTGATGATTCAGTTCTTTTCTGCTGTGACACTTTGAACACATACTTACTCTTTACATGTTTCAACGCTAATATCAGCAGCTCAAAGAAAACACAACCAGCTCCACATCCTGCATGCAGGAGTCTTACTGTTATATTGAGGATCAAGTATCTACACTTGTAGGGTCACACAATGACGGGTCTGTCCCAACACATGAAGAGTGGCAAATGCCAGCAAAACTGAAGTGATAAGTTCTTGTTCCTTCCCTGCACACTCGTCACGCTGAAGATCCGGGTTCGATTCCCCAATACACAGAGGAGTCATGTGAGAAGCGACTTCGTGCTTAATCTTCATTTTTGTAAAGCTGTGAATGGACACACATCCATCACAACATACTCAGTCCAGAACGGGAGGGTACATAAGACCGGGTGGGCACATGACTCCTCCGTTCCTGAACTACAATCAAACCTCACCTTATATGTAAGTCTCGTTTGATTTATTAATTCTACCTCGTCATAATATGAGGTCACTAGGGAGTCACGTAAGACCTCAAAGCTGTGTCCATGAACAGAAATAACGACAAGTTCCATTGTGTTAAAACTGTGTAATTGCAAGAACAAAGTAACACTTGTTACATCGAATTCACAATCTGATGTATTACAGACATAAAGTGCAATGTTATTGATAAACTCACTTGTAGCCTCAAATGCACTTAATGCTTCGGTTTAACTGAAGATAACATAAAATCACAAAATTTTGGTGTGGTTGTCTCAACCGATTTCTTGTTATTTTTACTGAAAGTGTTGGTTCTAGCGTTCACATGAAACACACACGTTGAGGCAGATGTTTGCATACTGTTGATTTCCAAAGAATGAAATGTTTGACACCTTTGTCCAGTCAATAAAGCTAACAACATCACTGTCTTGAGGGTTAACTCTTTGAGGCCGAGTTTCACAGCTGGAGACTCAAAATGATGATGATTTAAAACAATATCCACATCCCAAATTAAACCATGGCGGGGAAGAGACGGTTTCATTTCAAAAACTCCTTTTAAAAGTTTTTTAACCAAGAAATGTTCTCCAAATGAAACACCATCAGGGAGTGATATCACTGAAGATAAAGCACTGCGGGCTGTATTCACTGCACTATAGCCCAATCCATCATATGCTAGATCTGCTAGAAAGTTAATCCCATCCTCTAGACATAGTGTAAACAGATTAATCTGCCTTGAATCACAATAAATTTCCCACCTTGTAAGGTGTGCCTTTCCTCCAACACTTGCTGATTTCTCTAGCGTTCCGAGATAGGTGTCTCTCGCACAAGGATTTCCTGACAAGTGGCACACCATTAACTGCAGTGCCCTGTGCATCAGGTGAATCTCTGCTGGCTGTTGCACTAGGCGAAGAAGGGATTCTCCTCTGGGAAGGATCAAGGGATCTTCGATCAGAAGGCGGATCAACATCGGGAACCAAACCTTGGTTGGCCAGTAGGGTGCAACCACCACACCCGGTGCCCCGTCCCGGTCCAGTAGGGTGCAACCACTACACCCGGTGCCCCGTCCCGGTCCAGTAGGGTGCAACCACCTCACCCGGTGCCCCGTCCCGGTCCAGTAGGGTGCAACCACCTCACCCGGTGTCTCGTCCCGGGCCAGTGGGGTGCAACCACCACACCCGGTGCCCCGTCCCGATCCAGTGGGGTGCAACCACCACACCCGGTGCCCCGTCCCGGTCCAGTAGGGTGCAACCACCACACCCGGTGCCCCGTCCCGGTCCAGTAGGGTGCAACCACCACACCCAGTGCCCCGTCCCGGTCCATCTTCGGAAGGGTTTGAGCCAGGACACTGAAAGGAGGAATTATGTAGACGCAATCAAAACATGACCAAGTTCAGTCAAAACATGACCAAGGTAGTGAGAATGCATCAATAGCAAAAGCATTTGGGTCTGGATCTACATCAGGCTTAACCTTCAGTATGTCAAGAGATTTTCTCAGTAATTTCTTATCTAGTTTCCATTCTTTCTTTTCCTGTTTAAGCGTGACTCAGCGTCCACAGATATATTCTCTACACCAGGAATGTGAGCAACTGAAATCCAAATATAATTTCCAATGCAAAAATCCTAAATCATTTCGGTAAGTTGATTGCACGTTTCTGAATGACTAGTGTCCATGTGATTAATAGATGACACAGCTGTGGTGTTATCCATCATTGCTCTTACCTGTGTACTGATACATTTGACCTCGCCAAATAAATCTGAGAGACTTTCTGTGTTCCTGTGCCATGCGACATGAATAGTAAGCATCTTTGAGATCAATAGACGCCATCCAATAGTTTCTTCTTACCAATTTTAGAACTGAATTCAGTGATTCTATTTTAAACTGCAAGTACACTACTTGTTTATTCATTGCTTTCAGATTCAATATCAATCTATGTGATTGCTGATGGTTTGTTTTTGCAAACCAGGGTGAGTTCATCATTGTCAAGTTGGTCATTATCGGACCTCTTGGTTTTATCCGTGTCGCGATCCGCCATTTTGAGTGTGTCCGATCAACACGGTGACAATGCAATATTTTGACTAGATTCAAGTCAATAAGGGTACAGTGAAACTTTCCTTAAAATTTTGTGTACCCCGTGGTTTCAACAAACCAAGAAAATAACGAACTAGATGAACCAGGTTCTGAGTTCATCTACCACTTCACATGAAGAAATGTGAACAGCGTCTGCTCACCTCGAAAGCTTACGGGGCAATGAAGATTAAGCACGCGGTCGCTTTTCACGTGACTCAGTAGTGACGAGGTAGAACCATACTCACTCACTCACTGACATGGAAGAAGCCTGACCAGGCGAAAGGTCCTCACGTCCACGTGTCTCTTGTGTCTGAATGCGACAAGTGTTTCAAGCATGTTATATCGAAATGGGTGTTTGAAATAACTATCAATGTTTCCTTAATTCAAATCTCAGGATAATACATGGAAGCTCCCTTCACGTGAATTCCAGATTAGGATGACAAGAGACTAAGCTGCATGTGAGTGTGGCTTAACGCCACGTACTGAATACTATTCCAGATATATCATCATATAAGTTACACATGTGACGAAAGCCGGACAGTATGCATTTTTGCGAAACCATTCATGGGTATGGCACAGACCGACCTAAAAACAACCGCGACGAGCCAGGACGCATGCTATAAAGGTGTCTCCAAGGGAAGCAACTCTGCGTGCGTTGATGGCTGGGTGCCCCTCCCCATCCTGGTCCACAGATCGGTCATCATGAAGCATTGACCTTTTGGTGTTTCCACCAAAGTAGCAAGTACATAGACTGCTCATAGAACCATTTCCTCCAATACACTGCAGACAAAAGGTTGGCAGTGAGTAAAGTCTGGAATAATTTTGTTTTGGTTTATGAAAATGAATTCGTTAGGTAAATAAAAGAATACTACCCAGTCACTTTCAATAATTTTGGATTGGCTTTCCAGAGGTCAAACGTACCTGAATATTTATAATAATTTAATCTAATTTCCTATAATACCAATAGATGGTATTGAGAATGATTTGACGGTATTACTGGTACCCAGGTATAGCGCAATATGCTTTTCAAGTCGTATTTCAAACTTCTTTCTGAAAACCGTTATATTGGATAAAGAACAAATCATCTTTATGGTTTGAATTAAAACCTCCTACACAGACTTTCATTCACACCAAATGTTTTCCGCCGTTATTCAGTGACGAAACGGTATACTATAATATTATACATTGTATGAAAAAGAAAATAGAATCCCTGACTATGTAACCTAATTTTGACATTGATGTTATCAGAACCATATCATATATGTTTAGGGACTTATAATGTAGAAAATAGGATTGACATGCACAATCAGTGTCACTCACTGTCAAACACTCACTGTTCCCAATATATCACAAGGTGTATCGTAATATATATTGCAAGACAAGTTATATTTGCCAATACACAGCCCCAGTGTTGGGTTGGCTGTATCTATAAATCAGACGTTCACTGTAAATACCGTGCTAGTACTGATTCCCAAGTTGAACCAGATGTTCACTGTGATACCGTGCTAGTACTGATTCCTAAGTTGAACCAGACGTTCACTGTAAATACCGTGCTAGTACTGATTCCCAAGTTGAACCAGATGTTCACTGTGATACCGTGCTAGTACTGATTCCTAAGTTGAACCAGACGTTCACTGTAAATACCGTGCTAGTACTGATTCCTAAGTTGAACCAGACGTTCACTGTAAATACCGTGCTAGTACTGATTCCCAAGTTGAACCAGATGTTCACTGTGATACCGTGCTAGTACTGATTCCTAAGTTGAACCAGACGTTCACTGTGATACCGTGCTAGTACTGATTCCGAAGTTGAACCAGACGTTCACTGTAAATACCGTGCTAGTACTGATTCCCAAGTGGTATCAGACGTTCACTGTTATACCGTGCTATTACTGTTTCCCAAGTTGAACCAGATGTTCACTGTGATACCGTGCTATTACAAATTCCCAAGTTGAACCAGACGTTCACTGTTATACCCTAGCTTCCAGATTTTGTTTCTACCTCTCTGGGCTCGATTACATTTTAATATTCCGGAAAAGGGCGAGTAATTTCCACTCCAATCTTGTCTCCCAGTCTACGTTTAGTCACCAGCACACTACTGCCTTCACATGAATGACAACAGAACCAATACACAGAATGAAATATCAATACAACACCGTTTTACAGCGTTTACATCACTGACACAAGGCAACTTACACTGCGGTGATGATCACCCATACCTCGAGTTCCGGTAGACTGGCCATACCTCGGTCATGTTGACTTGACTAGGGCTTACGAGATACTAGAAGGTGTATACTGAGCGGATTATATTTCGCTTCCTCTTGAGACAATGTGCCCTTGTCAGAGAACAGCCTCAATCCGGCTCCTATGACTAAGGCGTGACATGAAACCAAACTCCGTGTGCAGCACGGCAAACTTGACAGTGTGGTCGGCATCAGGTGGAGAAACTTCACCGTCATGGACGGACATTTACGTTTTCTGGCCACTGTGGTGATTTCAGTTATCGCTACGGTAAGTAAACTATAGTAGATCACTGATTTGGATCTGTGTCGTAGTTTCAATGAAGTTCAGGTTTCTGTGTGAATGTCACTTTGTTACAGGGCTGGGTGTTGTTGGACTATGTGCTGATCAGTTTGTATTGGAAGCGTATTATATGGCATGCCATAAACAGAAATATCCACCTGACTACCTTTGCTCGACATTTAAAGCTAAACCTCGCTGGGATCCTTCATATATTGACGCAGGAACTTTTGAAACTTGAGGGTTTTCACCACAAGATTTCGCCCTAGTGGAAATATAGGTAAACAAAATGATCTTCAGTGAGAACGGTTGGTGCTTCTGGTGCGTGTCCTGTATGGGTATTCTTCATCGTACAATCCCACAAAAGTGTGATAGGGTGGTAGTGTGGTAGGTCGGTAGTGTGGTAGTGTGGTAGTGTGGTAGGGTGGTAGTGTGGTAGGTCGGTAGTGTGGTAGTGTGGTAGTGTGGTAGGGTGGTAGTGTGGTAGTGTGGTAATGTGGTATGGTGGTATGGTGGTATGGTGGTAGGGTGGTAGGGTGGTAGGGTGGTAGTGTGGTAGTGTGGTAGTGTGGTATGGTGGTAGTGTGGTATGGTGGTAGTGTGGTAGGGTGGTAGTGTGGTAGGTCGGTAGTGTGGTAGTGTGGTAGTGTGGTATGGTGGTAGTGTGGTAGGTCGGTAGTGTGGTAGTGTGGTAGTGTGGTAGGGTGGTAGTGTGGTAGGTCGGTAGTGTGGTAGTGTGGTAGTGTGGTAGGGTGGTAGTGTGGTAGTGTGGTAATGTGGTATGGTGGTATGGTGGTAGTGTGGTGGGGTGGTAGTGTGGTAGGTCGGTAGTGTTGTAGTGTGGTAGTGTGGTATGGTGGTAGTGTGGTAGTGTGGTAGTGTGGTAGTGTGGTAGTGTGGTAGGGTGGTAGTGTGGTAGGGTGTTAGTGTGGTAGGGTGGTAGTGTGGTAGGGTGGTAGTGTGGTAGTGTGGTATGGTGGTATGGTGGTATGGTGGTAGTGTAGTAGGGTGGTAGGGTGGTAGTGTGGTATGGTGGTAGTGTGGTAGTGTGGTATTGTGTTAGGGTGGTAGGGTGGTCACTCGACGTGCTTGTACTGTACCATGTCGTCACAAACAAGCCGTTTTGACTTCCCACAAAATAACTGCACTTCGTGTGCTCGTCTACTCCTATATTCAACTTGAGTTTTGCTAACCCGTGAATATTCGGGTTAGAATGAACCTTCAGTAACCCATGCTTGTCGTAAGAGGCGACTAACAGGATTGGGTTGTCAGGTTCGCTGGCTTGGTTGCCAAATGTCATCTGTTGCCAATTTCGCAGATCGATGCTCATGCTGTTGATCACTGGATTGTCAGGTCCAGACTCGATTAGTTACAGACCGCCGCCATATAGCTGGAATATTGCTGAGTGCGGCGTAAAACTAAACTCACTCACTCACTTGAGTTTTGGTAATTTCTGTTTCAGAGTGAGGGACAAACAACGAAGACAATAGGGAACCTCACGCTGGTCTGTCGCCCGGGTGAGTAGCTGGCACATTACACCTGCGATGGACCGTTGTGTATTCACGCTGGTCTGTCGCCCGGGTGAGTAGCTGGTACATTATACCCACGATGGACCGTTGTGTACTCACGCTGGTCTGTCGCCCGGGTGAGTAGCTGGTACATTATACCCACGATGGACCGTTGTGTACTCACGCTGGTCTGTCGCCCGGGTGAGTAGCTGGTACATTATACCCACGATGGACCGTTGTGTATTCACGCTGGTCTGTCGCCCGGGTCAGTAGCTGGTACATTATACCCACGATGGACCGTTGTGTACTCACGCTGGTCTGTCGCCCGGGTCAGTAGCTGGTACATTATACCCACGATGGACCGTTGTGTACTCACGCTGGTCTGTCGCCCGGGTCAGTAGCTGGTACATTACACCCGGGATGGACCGTTGTGTACCACGAGGGGGCCGAAGGTTCCTCCGTCCACAACATTTGTTGGAGAAGCTCTCGCAGTAGCAGGAGCAGCGTGCATCCCATATACAAAACCCATTTATAATCATTTGATACATTCTCACTTAATCAGGGGGCGGTGGTGTGGCCTAGTGGTTAAAGTGTTTCCTCATCACGCGGAAGACCCGGGTTCGATGCCCCACATGCCTACAATATGTGAAGGCTATTTCTGGGGTCCCCCGCCGTGATATAGCTAGAATATTGCTAAAAGTAGCGACAATCACACTCACTCACTCAATTAATCAGATAGTATATGCGTTATGGTGTCATACTCGTCTATAGTACATTTTCAAGCCGTGATATTGTATGATTTACTCGCCTGAACTTAGTTGTACCTATGCTACTCATCTGTACCTCCCAAGCCGTGATGTTATATGATCTTCTCGTTTTGTATCTAGTTGTCGTGATTTTATATGATTTACTCGTCTGTACGTAGTTGTCGAGCCGTGATGATGATATATGAGTTACTCGCCTGTACCTAGTTGTCCAGACTGGCTATATGTTACTCGTCTGTATCTAGTTGTCAAGCCGTGATGCTATATGATTTACTCGTCTGTACGTAGTTCTCACGTTGTGATGTTATATGATTTACTCGCCTGCATGTAGTTGTCAAACCTTGATGTTATATGTTACTCGTCTGTATGTAGTTGTCAAGCCGTGATGCTATATATGTTACTCGTCTGTATGTAGTTGTCACGTTGTGATGCTATATGTTACTCGTCTGTATCTAGTTGTAAAACCGTGATGTTTTATGTTTTACTCGTCTGTACCTAGTTGTCAAGCCGTGATGTTATATGACTATTCGCCTGTATGTAGTTGTCAAGCCGGGAAACTATATGTTACTCGTCTGTATCTAGTTGTCAAGCCGTGATGTTATATGACTATTCGCCTGTATGTAGTTGTCAAGCCGGGAAACTATATGCTACTCGTCTGTATCTAGTTGTCAAGCCGTGATGTTATATGATTTACTCGTCTGTATCTAGTTGTCAAGCCGTGATGTTTCATGTTTTACTCGTCTGTATCCAGCTGTCAAGCCGTGATGCTATATGTTACTCGTCTGTACGTAGTTGTCACGTTGTGATGTTATATGATTTACTCGTCTGTACGTAGTTGTCGAGCTTTGATGCTATATGTTACTCGTCTGTATCTAGTTCTAAAACCGTGATGTTATATGATTTACTCGTCTGTATGTAGTTGTCAAACCGTGATGTTATATGTTACTCGTCTGTATGTAGTTGTCACGTTGTGATGTTACATGATTTACTCGTCTGTATCTAGTTGTCAAGCAGTGATGTTATATGATTTATTCGTCTGTATCTAGTTTTAAACCGTGATGTTTTATGTTTTACTCGTCTGTATCTAGTTGTCAAGCCGTGATGTTATATGACTTACTCGCCTGTATGTAGTTGTCAAGCCGGGAAACTATATGTTACTCGTCTGTATCTAGTTGTCAAGCCGTGATGTTATATGACTTACTCGCCTGTATGTAGTTGTCAAGCCGGGAAACTATATGTTACTCGTCTGTATCTAGTTGTCAAGCCGTGATGTTATATGACTTACTCGCCTGTATGTAGTTGTCAAGCCGGGAAACTATATGTTACTCGTCTGTATCTAGTTGTCAAGCCGTGATGTTATATGACTTACTCGCCTGTATGTAGTTGTCAAGCCGGGAAACTATATGTTACTCGTCTGTATCTAGTTGTCAAGCCGTGATGTTATATGATTTACTCGTCTGTACCTAGTTGTCAAGCCGTGATGCTGTATGTTACTCGTCTGTATCTAGTTGTCAAGCCGTGATATTATATGATTTACTCGCCTGTATGTAGTTGTCAAGCCGTGATGTTATATGATTTACTCGTCTGTATCTAGTTGTCGAGCCGTGATGTTATATGATTTATTCGTCTGTATCTAGTTGTCAAGCCGTGATGCTATATGTTATGCTCATCTATTTAGACTTGTCGAACCGTAGTTGTTGACTCGTTTACATTAGATTGTCGCGCAGTGGTGTTATACTCGCCAAAATCACCGTGTTGAGAATATGCCTGGCTGCAAACGTTAGTTGGTATGAGTGGTCGAAGCCAAATATTTATTCCACAGATAGCGAAGGTTTACAGTTTCACATGATCGGATAAACAAACTCAAATTGGAGGCAAACAATGTTTTAATGCAATATTTACTTATGACAAGGAACGCTACATAATCTCCAGAAGCAGTTTTACTGATCCAGTTTTTTGTAAAATCTAAAATCGTGGTCCAATATTTTTTTTTTCTGAGCTTGTTAATAATTTCTTGGTCATATGTGTAGAGGGAAATCCGTCATTTAAGACTCTGTCAATAGAAAACACCCTGGATATGTATCATAGACTATTGTGTGTGCCCAGTGTATACGTTCCCACCGTTACCGTGTGGAGAATCAAGGTCAATATTTGTTGTACAATAATCCTCGCCGACTTACTGGTTTTGTTGGTGTGTTGTTTAACGTCACACTCAGTATTCTAGCTTATACACTCTAACAAAAGAAACGCACAGACCAAAATAAGGAAATGTATTAAACATATTTGAGTGTACATTAGGTTTGAACATAGATGAAGGAAATTCGACAGACGGATGAACACCTGTATTGTTGTCATTGTCAGCATGAATTCAGTTCACTCAGTGCACATGTGTGGACACAAGGGGGCGTTCAGGTCAGTACCTAGTGACGCCACACCTTGCAGCCGTCACTGCTC